AACATCTACCAGTTTGGAGATCAAATGTCTTTTAGAGGAATTATATCTATCCAAATGTAGAAGTTCTGCAAGGAAAGCAAAACCCTGGAGGAGATTTTTATCCCCAAGTTTTTTCACAAAAAATACAGTACAATCCCCTGAGACCTGTAAAAGAATACAGTAATAATCCTCTGAGACCTGGCTAAAATATTTACAGGTGTTCTTAAAAGTTGTAAATATTGTGTTCATGTACACAAGAGCACACACTTCTCCTCAGTTACAGGTAGGAAATATAATATCAAGGATTTTATTAACTGTTCATCTGAAGGAGTAGTGTATTTAATAACATGTAAAAAAAAAGTGAGAAACAATCTGTAGGTCAAACGAAGCATAGATTGAAAATGAGAATAGCAGAGCATATCTATAGCATTAGCAGAATTTACCAAACAAAGTGTCCACACATTTCAGAAAATGTGCAGAGGGAGACTTGTCTTAATTCTCCTTTCAAGGAATGCAGAAATGCAAGTTGGGACATGGGGAAATCCCTCTCCTCTGCCTGGGAGATAATTAAGGCAGATAATACATTAACTTAATTATCTCCAGGCAGAAAAACCACATATTTTTTTAAAGTCCCATAAGTACCCCAAAACACAATATATCCCCATAAATGTTACCTCCCCTGATAGCCCTGATCTGGGTGAACAACATATCCCCCAGATCAGAGCAGGGGGTTCAGGAAATTCCTGAAAGTCTCTTTTTGACCGACCGCACGCATGGTTTCATGCCCAAAACAGTTCCAGAGAATCAGGGCTTGCGGCCGGTCTAGTTTGGTAGTTTGCAAATAAACAGAGGTAGGCAGAGTCAATAGTCTACCTCTGGAGCTTGTTCCCTTCATCTGGATGAATGATTCCACCAAACAGTGCCCTTCTAAATTGAATAGAACCGAACGCAGGGGATGATGGAAGTCCAGCGGTGTTCGGGAGTTTCTGTATCCGATTTCAGTTCAATGAGATTCATGCCCAAACACCGCTGCCTGTGTTCTCTATAGGAATTGTGGCCACCCAGACGAACAATTAGAACGCTGCGTGAGAAATGTTCCAAGTTGTTAATAGGTGTTAACAAGCTCCAGGGTGGTCTCTGTTCGTGCGGTTGTTCGGTAAACAAACCATATAGTCCCAATTGCACGAACAGAGCCTTGAAGTATATTAGCCAGTTCTATTGCAGGGGCCAAAGTCACAGGGTAGGAGGCTGGCAAAAAAACAGTGGCAAGGTCACTTTCGCCATAATTATTTTTTTTTATATATGCTTAGCCCTTGTAGATGCCTCTTTCTTCCCATACAAAATACATTATAGGGTGTATGCATGTTCAGGTGAGTGCAGCCCTCTTGGTTTCATTTATAAATTTATGAGTCCAGGCAAACTCCTTGGTTTTGAACCCCTCCCTGTCACAGGTGCCTCATTCCAGGACCCTATTGAGCCTTGAATGGCAGAGAGTCCCAGTAAGGAAGTATTTCCCAAGTAAGTGGATTAATCTCATAAGAGCAAGCATTAGGCTGCAAGAGTAGGGCCTGCCAAGAATGTGGTACATTGATGTTGTGGCAGGCTTATGCAATATATGATCATATAATGTAACTAAACCCCCATTATCTTTTACCTAGGTGAGGTGTTTTTAAATAAAAATAGTACAATCTGTAATATTTAAAAATCATTGTTCAGTGAATAAGCTGGATTGTGTATTTTGTATGATAATATATATTTATATAATTTTTTTTGGTAGTATAAGAGAAGAGCTAGATAGGAAGAGGTAAAGATATTATAAAAATAGATATATGTTTTTATTTTTACCCCAGGATTATAATTTAGGTAATATAGAAATATGTAGGCTTTTAAGATTTAACCCCTTCAGACCAGAGGGCATACTATTACGCCCTATTTTAGGTAGCTCTAAACGCCGCCGGGCGTAATAGTACACCCTCCGTTTTTTTTTTTTTACTTACCCGGTCGCCGGCGATCCCCAGGGAGCCCCCCGCGGCACATCAGACCTCCTGCAGCCCCCCAGGCCATGTGAGAGTGAGGTCCTTGCAAGGACCTCACAATCACATGGCCGGGTTAGCTGCCTGCTGCATTGCCAGCAGGGGGACTGCCTGTAATGACAGGTAGTCCCCCTGCTGGCTGGCAATAAAATAAATTAATGTTAATAAGTGTAAAAATTATATACTTATATCATATATATATGATCTAAGTATATATATATATATATATATATATATATATATATATATATATACACATATACATACACACTCATACACTGTCTAGGTGTATTTTACTATATATATATATATATATATATATATATATATATATATATATATATATATATATATATATATATAGTGTTCAAGTAGAGATAGTAGCCGTATTAGTCCAGTGATGTAGATGTAAAAAACAGATAAAATTCTTATCTTATTTACAAGATAAGAATTTTATCTGTTTTTTTACATCTATATCTATATCTATATATATATTAATATCAAATTACACGTAGACTGATACTGATTATGTATAATATATATATAATTATTGTTATATATATATATATTTATATATAATATAAAAAAATATGTAAATATGGTAAAAAATAAAATTAAAAATAAATAATTAAAAAATATAGTTGTGTGTTATTTCGTTCTAACTGTATTGTGATATTAATATATATATTTATATCAAAATACACGTAGAACGAAATAATATATATATTTATATCAAAATACACGTAGAACGAAATAATATATATCTATATACATAAATATATACCACTATATATATATATATACCTATATATAAATAAAAATATTTACTTTTTATATATATATATATATATATATATATATATATATATATATATATATATATATATATATATACACACACACATATATATACACACATATACACACATACATATACACACACGTATATATTATATACACACACACATATATATTTATGTAATGATTTTACATAATTAGGTATCTTAATTAATTACAATTAGCGGGACCTGCCTGACAACCCATGCCGAAAGTAAAGGGAATTTAATTTGCTAGCACTATATTTAACCCTATAACTTTCCAAGACACCATAAAACCTGTACATGGGGGGTACTGTTCTACTCGGGAGACTTCGCTGAACACAAATATTAGTGTTTCAAAACAGTAAAATGTATTACAATGATGATATTGCCAGTAAAAATGACGTTTTTTTGCATTTTTCACGCACAAACCGCACTTACATGGACGATATTATTGCTGTGATACTTTTTACTGTTTTGAAACACAAATATTTGTGTTCAGCGAAGTCTCCTGAGTACAACAGTACCCCTCATATACAGGTTTTATGGTGTTTTCAAAAGTTACAGCATCAAATATAAGGCTTGTGTTTCATTTTTTTCCACATTAAAATTCGCCAGATTGGTTAAGTTGCCTTTGAGACCCTATGGTAGCCCAAGAATGAAAATTGCCCTTATGATGGCATACCATTTGCAATAGTAGACAACCCAAGGTATTGCAAACTGGGTATGTCTAGTCTTTTTTAGTATCCACTTCGTCACAAACACTGGCCAAAATTGGTGTTTTTTGCATTTTTCACACACAAACAAATACGAACGCTAACTTTGGCCAGTGTTTGTGATCAAATGACTACTAAAAAAGACTGGACATACCCCATTTGCAATACCTTGGGTTGTCTACTATTGCAAATGGTATGCCATTATGGGTGTAAATTTCATTCCTGGGCTACTATAAAGTCCCAAAGGCAACGTAACCAATCTGGAGAATTTCAATTTCAAATGTAATGTGCTATATTTGACCCTGTAACTTCCCAAAATGCCATAAAACCTGTACATAGGGGGTACTGGTTTACACGTGAGACTTTGCTGAATACAAATATGTGTATTTTATTGCAGTAAAAGCAAACCGTATTAAGACATTGACAGTTAAAATGTCATGTAGAACTAAAAAAAATTAACAAAATCTTATTTTCTCCCATTTTTTTCATATTAAATTATGTTTCACAGCTAAATATTTGATATTAAATGAAAGCCCTGTTTCCCCTGAATAAAATTATATATAATAAGGGTGGGTGCATTTAATATGAAAGAGGTGAATTACGGTTGGACAGACATGTAGCGCAAATGCCAGGTTTTGTTTACATTTTGTTTTGTTCACAACGTGTACATTTGGCTCAGTCCTTAAGGGGTTAATCCACATATCACTTTAATATCTGGATGGGGATCAGGTTCTTCTCTTTCCTAGGACTTTGACTTTATGCAATCAATTAAATCGTTGTTGCATTTTGCCAAGCTCCAAGAAGAAAAGATCACTACTTTTCATGTCTCTTGGATTCAAATAAATAGTTAATTATTTTATCTTGCAACATCTCGGAGTTAGTATTGTGACTGTATAGAATCACTATAGTTTAGAAACAGTATATGGGTTCCATACTATTATATTTGTGCACAAATTATATCAACTTAGCCAGAGTTGAACTGATGTGCCAGGGGCTGAGAATAATGTTAGTGGAATTTCACAGTGTATGGATTATAAGAATTATATAAAATAGACCACACCATGGAATGCATTGTGAATGCTAGTAGTTTTATGTGTCTCTCATACTCGGCTGATTTATGTACTAGTAGGCGTTATGCGCTCCATGTAGTATGAGTGCCGGCTGGCATATGGGCTGGCCTGTTTGGGAGTGATGAAAATTATAACTACAATTAGTGTTAATACAAACATCTGAGGGGGCGTGTCCTGGACTCCGACGTAGATGACTGACTAACTTGTGAGCTCCGTCCCACGAAACAGCGCATTAATGCAGAAAACACTATCTCAATGGGTAGAACGAAACGCCCTGACACCCACTAAACACCCAGGGGACAACAGGTTCACCCACGAACTGGCTCGCTAGACGGATACCTGCAAACACCTGGCAGGCCGCAACGAGACACCCAGGGCCTAAAGATGGCCGACAACCAGGTCTCACCGCCTGAACCGGAGGAACAAGCGCTCTCACTAGCAGATATCAGGGCGGACATCAGAGCCCTAACCAGCTCTATGGTCATGGAAATGGACCTGAAGAGCACCTCTGACACACTCCATGAGGCGATATGCTTGGAAGTGGCTATGCTCGGGAATGACATAGCAGCACAAGGCAACCGCATCCAAGTACTGAAGGTTGCAGAACAGGCGATGACTGGCCTAATAGAAGCTGACAACCCAGCAATTACCAGACAAGGTACCATCCTATTAAACCTCAGACGGCAGGCTGAAGATTTAGATAATAGGGGGCGCAGATCCAATATTAGGATACGCAATCTCCCTGAACCTAATGGAGACGAAAATGTAGAGGCCACACTAACAACTCTGTTAGAAGAGATACTAGGCCCAGACACACCGCCCAGCATAACATTTGACAGGGCACACCGAGCAACAAGGCCGAGAACAGCTGACAACTCGCCCAGAGACATAATCTGTTGTCTGCATGAATACAGGGTAAATGAGCTGATAATGTCCAAAGCCCGCTCTAAACCAACGTGGTGGTTTCGAGGAGCCAAGGTGGCTCTATATCAGGACTTGTCACCCCTCACACTGGAGGCCCATAGGGCTTTACGACCAGTGACTCAGCTACTAAGGAGCCGCAACATACCATATAAATGGGGCTTCCCCTTTTGCCTACTAGCCAGACATAACAACGAATGGGTGCCACTACGGTGGCCAGAGGAGGTACCGACGTTACTCAGGAGACTGGACTTGCCACACACAGAAGTAGCTGATTGGATCCTAGGGCCGCTAGAGCAAAGACCTGGCCACATGCCACAAAGAGCTGCGAGATGCCGCAGGGAAGATTTGCTGCATAGACCACCAGCCCGCAGACACCCAAACCCGGCGCAGCTAAACGCATAACCCAGACACTAATGAGCCATACAAGACAAGCCGAGGCAGGGCCCTCCTGGCCGGCTGTGGGGAGACAATGAAGAATGACAACCAGTGGAGGCCAGCCGCATGACCCACCCAGATAAGTACTTTACCCTACCCAAACACACAAAGACCTACGGACTGTGACTATCGACCCCCCCCCCACCTGAGACTCCCTCTCCACCAGAGAGGGTACACATCAGCACCGGCCAGGCCTACCCTGGAATGGAACCACGAAACTGACATAAGCAATCTCACCTTACAGACCCTCCACGCACCCAGTGCTATACAGGGCTGGGAAGGGGGGACTGGGTACCGGGACACATGTTGGGGTGGGGGATGAAGAGGGGATGGGGGAACACCTGCCCAACCGGGGGCAGACTACTGAACTAGGACGGTTTAAGACACCTCAGGGGGGGTAGAGAAGAAGCCACTGACTGAGCACCGGGGGGCACGGGGGATGGAGGGACGGAACGGTAAGTTGAGCAGGCCGCTAGATGAGTGGGGACGGGGTGAGATGGTGTAGAGGGGGAGGGAAGAGCAGAGGGGAGGAGAATACAATACGATGGCGGGCAGAAGTGGGTTTAAAAAAAAAAAGTGGGGTGAATGGGATGTAACAAGCACCAGGGGAGTTAATAATAATAATACAGAAATGTAAGATGTATGATGAACGTGTGATAACTGATGCCTATGTTATACAAGATTCCACCTGTCCAGGCTGGTATAGCAGCACCACGAATCCCCATAGGAGGATGGCAACAAATAGACAGTTAGACTCTTATCCATGAGCACTCCCTCATGGGTCACAGGAACACTCCCTAGTGCCCACTGGAATATGCCCCTGACTCCTCGACAGATGCAAAACTTATCGGCCACACAGCACACAGCCAAAGGCTAATTAATGGTACCCCAGACCACCCTTTTTTCACTCTTTTTGGTAGCAGAGAGATCCTTTCTCTTCCCATATTGCATGAAAATGGTGCTCTGCTTAATAATGTGGAACACCCTCCTTTAGCAGTTTTTCCTTAAATTGGGTTAAGCTGGCAATCTAATTATCACAGGTGTCCAAGATTGTTTTCAGTGATCAAAAGAGCACTGAGACACAATGCCATCCATGAGTTAAACTGAAAAACAAAATATTTAATCTTTGTGACACTTAAATAGAATTTGCATAATAATTTGTAACAAGATGTACACTCCGAACACAGGACAGGCCAGCTTCTTACGCAGAAAGCTGTCGAAACTGGCAAAATTCATGGAAGGGATGCTGATACTTGGTGGAGGCGTGAACGTCCCTCTAGATCCCCTAGTCGACACATCCATGGGACAGAGCAGTATACCGTGCTCGGCTATTAAAACCATCCATCAGGCTGGTGGACACGTGGAGAACACAACACCCGGAGGGCCAAGATTACACGTACTACTTAACGCTACACCGCAGGTAGGCCTCACCTACCTCAAAAAAGCAGAAATCCAACCCAGGCCCTGGTCAGATCACAGCGCAACATGGGTAACTATGACTTTACCACTCTATCGCCCAGGTAGAACAGCGTGGAGACTTAACGAATCACTCCTCCTAGACAAACCATCACGAACACAAATCACAGATCATATACGCCAATACTTTGAGGAAAACACCACCGACAACCTGTCGGACATGACAATATGGGAAGCACACAAAAGCGTACTACGGGGACACTTAATCTGAATGGCAACACAGAAAAAAAAAAAAGAAGCCGGCCAACAGTAAATAGACCTTACCGACAGATAGCAGAACTGGAGCAGACACACAAAAGAACCCAAAGAGACCAGACATACAGAGGCCTAATCACAAAAAGAAGACAGCTAATGGACATCATAGAACACAAACACGCCAGAAACCTACAATGTTCAAAAACTTACATGCCAACAAGGGAGGGAAGCTACTAGCCCGGATGCTAAGAGGCCCAAAGAACAGGGCACAGGTGCAAACCCTACGAACCCGGCAGGGCAAACTGACGCAATTCCCAGAAGAAATCGCGGAAGAATTCAGGTCATTCTACATGCAACTGTATAACATCCCCAACGCGGAAGAGGGAACGACCCTGGAGATGAAACGTGCTGACGCAGCCAGATACTTACAGGACTTCAACCCGGACACCTGTATCCAAGGAGGCAATAAAGATGGCCCTGAAATCAGCAAAAACTGGGAAGGCACCAGGTCTGGATGGATTCCCAGTGGAATACTATAAGAAATTCAGCGAGGAGCTAATACCACGATTGGCAAAGGAATTGAACGGCCTGCGAGACGGTGCAACATTTCACAAGGAGTCCCTAGCTGCAACGATCACGGTGATTCCTAAACCAGGCAAAAACACGGAACTAGTGGGCAACTACCGCCCAATCTCCCTCATCAACATGGACATGAAACTCTTCTCCAAGATTCTAGCATACCAACTGCAGGCCTACATGCCCAGATTGGTGCACCCAGACCAGACGGGTTCATCCCGGGCAGGGAAGCCAGAGACAGCACTCTTCGACTCTTCACAATCCAACACCTAGCAAAAAAACCTAAGGAAAAAGTTACTTCTGCTCTCCACGGATGCAGAAAAAGCATTTGATAGAGTAGACTGGCACTATATGATGGAGACATTACGAAAAGTTGGACTAGGGGACGGGATGTTGGCATGGATCAATACACTTTACCACCGACCAAATGCCAAAGTTAGAGTAAACGGAGCACTAACAGACAGCTTCGACATCCGAAATGGCACCAGACAGGGCTGCCCGCTTTCGCCGCTTTTATTTGCACTCACCCTGGAGCCATTCCTTGACCGTGTTCGGAAAACCCCTACGATAACAGGACTAAAACACAAAACACAAGAACACAAAGTGGCTGCGTACGCAGAAAACATGCTGTTCTTCCTTGACGACCCGCTCAAATCCATCCCAAAGCTAATGGAAGAATTTCAGACATACAGAAACCTATACAGTCTAGCAAAAGTGCAACATACTGAATGTAACGATGCCAGAAGTTGAATGTGCGCGACTGAAACAACGGTTCCGCTTCCATTAGTGCAAGGAACACATGAAATACCTAGGGATATGGGTCACCCCCGAGGCCAAAGACCTATGTGCCTTACCTAACTAACATTCTGGGAGATCTCAAGAGATGGAACTACAACCACATCTCATGGCAGGGACGCATGGCGGTCGTGAAGATGAAAGTCTTGCCCAGGATACTGTATATGTTTCACACCATTCAGTGGATACTACCACAAGCCTTCTTCAAAACGCTCAGAACTTTTGATATGTATGAAAGGGAAACATATGTATGAAAGGGAAACAGAGCCAGGATTAGTCACGAAAAACACAAGCCTTCCAAGAACTTAGGGAGGACTTGCCCTACCAGATTTAGGTAAATACTATCAAGCAACGGTCTTGCAACGCCTCAGGGGATTACACACGGCCACTCCTCACAAACGGTGGGTCTCCTGAGCAGGGACATTGTGGACAACCACCTCTGCTAATTTATCTGGCACAAGGAATCGGAGGCAATGAACGACCTCGGAGAGGACTCCCCCATTGCCCAAACACTCAACACTTGGACCAGGTTGAGGAAAGCGCCCTACATTTCACCAAAACCAAGCCCATTGATTCCCATCACCCACAACACGAACCTAGGTGATGGGCTCCTGTCATTCACATGGCCACTAGCCAACCAGGAAGGATACATACCTATGCAAATGGTGTTGACAGAAATGGGAATAAAGACACTACAAGACATGATGGACGGAGGGATGTTTACAATAATTCACCAATTCCAATATGCTCAACTGAAACATTTCTTCCATAACCTACCACACAAAAACAAAATACACAGAGGCCTAACCTGGTACGAAACACTATGCTCCCACACACCGGAGGCAGAGGGCACAGCACAAAAGCACCTTCAGCTCCCACTTCCAAAAGGTGAACTACAAGTTGATCTCCCACTGGTACCGCACACCATCCTTGCTACACCGGATCAATCCAGCAGTCCCGGATACCTGTTTGAGATGCAAAGACAGACACCTATGGTGGGACTGCAAAAAATTAAACCTTACTGGGACGGCATCACAACAGAAATACGGAACATACTGGGGGCAGCCACGAATCTGACTGTAGAATTAGCCTTTATACACCACACGGAAGAACCACTCTCAGTATACAAAAGATCAATCTTGAGACACTTGCTCAATGCAGCAAAATCGCTAATAACGCTACTATGGAAAACGTCGAACCCACTGACGGTAGGGCAATGGAGACACAGAGTTGAAGAAATACAAAGGGCCGAATCCACAATGGCGGACCTGAAGGGGAGGAAGGAAAAAACACACAGAATGATGGCGACCTTGGTATGTATACATCTCACAAAATTCAACCAACGATTAGGACGGAGGGCGGACTTGGGGAAACGAGGATGAGAGCCCTAGCACGTCGGACGCTATGCTGCCTCGCCCCCACCCTTTCCCACCTGTCCAACCATTAACCCACCATCGCACCATGCAGAACTTGGTAGAGAAAACATACGCAAGGGGGGGGGAGTGGACTGGGGT